CACAGTGAATCACATTGCTCACTTGACTGTTTATTATGCTTCAGCAATTATCCCAGACCATCAGAAAAATAAACGTTTGCAAGAATCTCCTTGCAGTTAGATGTTGCAAAAGTACAGTGAGATTTGGTGGTGAGACAAAGATGCTATAACTTCAAAGAAATTTGATGAAACACTGAATAAGTAGATTTTCTAATTAACGCTAAAGCTACTATAGTACATTTGGACAACAAATTAGCTTAAAATATTTTGTATGCCTCTCAACAACATTCTAACATGGTATAGGTATAAATATATCGTGGAGATTAAAAAAATAAAAATATATTAAAGCTGCAAGCAGCGTCGTTCGGCCCTCGCAGCTCCGCGCCGCTCCGGTCTGGACGGCAGCCCGGGGCACCAGTGCACGTCTGACAGAACAGAAACGTCAACCACCCCGACACCAGAAACCGCGAATGGCCTCCTAGTCCGCACCTCACCCTGACTCAGCATCCCCTCTGAGCTCACCATTAAATTGAATATTAAGATTACGGCGTTACGCCAGAATTCGCCATGGCATCAAAGCCCCTCCCTTTCTGGAAAGCTATCAGATCTGAATGGTCAATACAGCATCATGAAGACAGTGCATGACCTTTGTTTCATGTTGACTAAATTAGAGGGGACAAATATGGGCAGTTCACCATAAAACAATAGGCTTCCTGTAGTCAGGGGGCGGGGCTTAGGTGATGTCAGCTGTCCACATTGTCATTGTTTACAGATATGGTCAATGATCACACAGACAAAGTTCGAAAAAAATCTGATCATGCACATGGGAGTTATTAAGTCAAGTAAAGTAATGGCGAAAGGTCAAAGTTTGAGGCTTAGCCACGCCCACATCTTTCAACTTTTGAAAAATCCGACGGTTGAATTTTTTCCCCTATGTCTTAAGAGTATATAGCAGAAGTTTGAAGGCGATTGGTGAAAAGGGCGACGGAGCATCACTCTCCAAACAACGTGTGCGAAAACCACTAAATCGCGTACTTGGACCAAAATGGCCGACTTCCTGTGCAATGTTGTGCTTGGCTCCAAGAGACTTTTTTGTAGGTCCTGAGACACCACATTAGTGTACCAAATTTCGTAATCCTCAGTCAAAGCATGGCTTGGGGCTGATAGTTTAAATGGTCCTAGAGGCGCTATTTAAGACAATAGGCCACGCCCACAAACTTCAGCTATGGATATCTCTTGGGGCTCAGGCTAGGATCACTTACAAGAAGTTTCGTAGCGCTATCACAATAACTGAAGAAATGAGAGGCAAACGTATTTCCATGGCGTGATGGCGATTTTCGCCATGCTGCCAAAGCCCCGCCTTTACTCGAAACCTGCCAGTACTGGATACCAAGTGACCTCAAGTTGTCTACTGCTATTTGCCAGAGATTATGGGTGATTGGGTAAAAGGAGTCCAATAGGAAGCTGTGGAAAAAAAGAGTGGCGTGGCGAAAGGTCAAAGTTTGAGGCTTAGCCACGCCCACACCTTTCAACTTTTGAAAAATCCGACAGTTGAATTTTTTCCCCTATGTCTTAAGAGTACATGGCAGAAGTTTGAAGGCGATTGGTGAAAAGGGCGACGGAGCATCACTCTCCAAACAACGTGTGCGAAAACCACTAATTCGAGTACTTGGACCAAAATGGCCGACTTCCTGTGCGACTTTGTTCTTGGCTCCAAGAGACTTTTTTGTAGGTCCTGAGACACCACATTAGTGTACCAAATTTCGTAATCCTCAGTCAAAGCATGGCTTGGGGCTGACAGTTTTAATGGCTCTAGGGGGTGCTATTTAAGAAAATAGGCCACGCCCACAAACTTCAGCTGTCTATTTTTCTTGGGGCTCAGACTAGGATCACTCACCAGAAGTTTCGTAGCGATATCACGAAAACTGAAGAAATGAGAGGCAAACGTATTTCCTTGGCGTGATGGCGATTTTCGCCATGCTCCCAAAGCCCCGCCTTTTTTCGAAACCTAACTGTACTGGATACCAAGTGACCTCAACTTGTCTACTGCTATTTGCCAGAGATTCCTATTGATTGGGTAAAAGGAGTCCAATAGGGAGATGTGAAAAAAAGAGTGGCGTGGCGAAAGGTCAAAGTTTGAGGCTTAGCCACGCCCACACCTTTCAACTTTTGAAAAATCCGACGGTTGAATTTTTTCCCCTTCGTCTTAAGAGTATATAGCAGAAGTGTGAAAGTGATTGGTGAAAAGAGCAACGGAGCATCACTCTCCAAACAACGTGTGCGAAAACCACTAAATTGCGTACTTGGACCAAAATGGCCGACTTCCTGTGCGACTTTGCGCTTGGCTCCAAGAGACTTTTTTGTAGGTCCTGAGACACCACATTAGTGTACCAAATTTCGTAATCCTCAGTCAAAGCATGGCTTGGGGCTGACAGTTTTAATGGTCCTAGGGGGCGCTATTTCAGAAAATAGGCCACGCCCACCGGATGTTCACATCAGATCTTTTGAGGGGCCGGACTAGGATCACTCACAACAAGTTTCGTGACGATATCTTTAGAAATGACGAAATGGAAGGCAAACGTAAGGCCATGGCGGTACGCCTGACTTCGCCGCGCCGCCACAGCCCCACCTTCTGCCGAAAACTCCCATAAAGTGACGCCAAGCAACCTCCACTTGTCTTGAGTTAACAGCTACAAGTTTGTGGTGATTAAGTGAAATGGGGCAATTTGGGACCTTTCACAGTAAAACTTGACCTTTTTGGTCCTGAGGGGGCGGGGCTTGTGTGATGTCATCATCCGACCATTCAATTTACTTTGTGGCTGGATGACGAATGACCACAGAAAGTTTGGTAATTCTATTCCTTTCAGTTATGAAGTTATAGCAATTTAAAAATTTTTGGCGAGTAGTCAAACTTCGAGGCCTGGCCCCGCCCCTTCAACATGTACGAAAAGTCAGAATCTTTGTCTCATTTTGTTCGCCCATCCCTTCTGAGCAATTTTACACAATTTTTGAGACGATCGTGCAAAAAATGATCGAGCAATCCAATCAGAAACGGACCCTAAAAAGGGCCAAAACGGCAAAAAATCGCCATTTCAACCCAAAATGGCCGACTTCCTGTTTGATATTGACCATGCATGCAAGAGACTTTTCTGTGCGGACTGTTTAGTACTATAAATGTACCAAATTTCATAACTGTACGATAAACTAAGCTTTATGGAGAGGGTTTTTTTTCACTTTGTAGGGGGCGCTGTTCAGCCATTTTCTTTGCGATTTTTTTGTGACCTTTAAAATATCAAATTTTTCACCAGGCCTGACAAGTTTGCAAAATATTGTGAGTTTTGGGGTATGTTAAGGTCCCCAAAAAGCTGTTCAAAGGGGGCACGGAATAACAAAAAATAATCAGAGCAAAAACAAGAGGCCTTCGCAGCGCTTTCGCTGCTCGGGCCTAATAAAAATAAAGTAGTTCTCTCACATTTGTCTAAATACCTCCGCCAGCAACATGTTTCATACCAAAAACAACTATTAGATCATTCAGTTGACCATCTCACTAAAGTAACACACTTCCCTGAATCCTCTATTTACTACTCACTGATGCAGGGCTGAAACGAATCATCACATGATTTGAATGGTTCGATTAATTAAATTCCGCAATTCATTTTTACTGATTCGAAGCCTTGTTAAATGTGTGCTCCACAGTCCGAATGCATCTAACTGGTGCATCTAATTGGTAAACTAGGTGCTTTGGAGGAAAATAAAGAAACCAGCAAAGACAAAAACCATTGTAAAAAGCAGAAACGTTCCTAAGTTTGGGATCAAGAGTTAAACTATGGTCAGAAATGCTAATGCTAAGCTAGCGAGGAGCATTCTCACCAGCAAGTGTGGTTCAGAACAAGTGTGATGGTTGTAAATTTCTAAACTTTAAAGCGGAAGAAAACCCCCCACCATCCCGTTTATATGTGGATGTCTGCGGTGTGGGGCAGAGCTACTGCAGCGCTACCTTCTGATTGTTGCTACTAGTCTGTACCATCTACCGCAGAATGGTGTGGCAAGCCGTTTTAGCATGTAATTCACAAACACTTTTACATTTGATTACAATTTAGACTAGATTATGTTGCCAACCCATACATGATATAATATACCACAAGTACATTGTTATCATTAGAAATTAAATGCTATTAGCATTTCCAGTAGCTTACTACTGAACATGTTAATAAAATCCACTGATTATATGTGAATATATTCAGACATGTTATGTTGACTAGGATGATATTAACACAAACCTAAAATTTGAGTGAATTGTAAGTCAAATTTTGTCCCAAAAATATTTATTAACTATAAATATCAGCTGAGAAAGCTTAGACCAAGTTAATATATATTATTGAGCCTTTTACAATTTAGCTGTTTCATTTTCACATGTTTAGCAGCAGACCACAATCTCGTTTCACTTGAAACATCATCAAATAGAATACTCGGTTAATCGATGGAGGATTCGATAGAATATTCAAATGCTAAAATTTTCTATAACTGCAGCCCTACACTCATGTATTTAGCAACAGAACACCTCTGGTGTGAGAGGTTTTCTACTCAATAATATCAGAGAAGGGGAAACAGACGGCTGCTACCACTTCAGCTTTAGGACAAACTACCAGAGTCCCAAAAAGAAAAACACCATTTAAAGTGACAGACAACAAAATACGTTAAAATCCAGAAAACAGCAACTGGTGTTTAACGCTTTCTTGTTTCCTCTGACATCATGGGTTTCCAGTTCCCATAGAAAGATTCCTGAGGGGAGGGGTAAGTGTTCTGTGACCGTGTTTGCGTTCAAAACAGAGTTTTTTTTTTCTGTAGAATCGCCATAGCAGCTTTAAATAACGTTTTGCCAATGCATTATTTTCTCATTTATTTTCAAAACAGTTTCAAATCTATAACCACAAATAAATAAATTCAATAGAGAATGTAAAAATATTTCACTATACGTCTTCTTTAATTTTATCTTCTGTATTTTCTTTTTGTTGCTGCAGGGCCACAGCAGATTTTCCAGGTCACCCAAACTTCTCCACGTGAGTTCAGCACACATTAAGTTATAAAAATGTGTGTCATAAAGGCTCAGCAGCACCATGAAACAGAAGAATGTGCCTTATTTGAGGCATTCCCTCCTGTTTTCCTGCTGCAGAGGTCTTCCCCTAGCCTGGCAAGCCAGACTAAATAAATTTGCAAAGCAAGAATTTGGTCTAGTTCACTAGGCTAGTCTTCCCCTACAGGTTGGAACTCATTTAGCACAGGCAGCAGTTCAGACCCAGGATTAGATCACTAACTGGGTCATACTCTCCAAAATCTTGTGAGCTACTTTTCTAGCTAAGTGCCGTATTCTCATCGCACACCATTTCCTGCTGTTCTACAACAAAGGTCACCAAGGCAGCAGTATACCTTTCCTTAATTCAATATTACAAATCCTTTAAAACTAGATTAAAAATTGGTTCATATTTAAATTCACTTAGAAAATGGGGCTTTTTCTGATTTCTTAGCAGCATTGCTTTTTTTTTTCAAACACATTTTTAAAAAATCACAATGTTTTACATTTAGTTTGGTAAAAAAAAATAATTACAGTTTGTAACTCTTGATGTTGTGCTCCTTTGTGGCAGGAACCCAACCTCCCCTCCATTGTGGAGACAAGGACTGACAACCCTGACGAGTCTTTTCACCCCTCTCCAGTCTTTCGCTCTCGACGTAACCTCCTGCTGCCCAGCTTTGCAAGCCCTGTTCGACGTACATCCCTGGGGAATCTGCTCGGGGATGAATTACGACAGTTTAGTGCCCTACGACGCTGTCGTTCACCAAACCTCAGTCGTGGCTTCCTCGGGCAGAGCTCCTCCCCTCAGCCACCATCAAACAAAGAGCATAGTTCTCCTGCATCAGTCCAGTGTCTGGCCTCATCCTCAGCCCACGGAGATTCTGGAGCTGAGCTAAAGCCTTCAAAGCTGCCAATCCCAACTGTCACTTTTGTTGCCCCTCCGGATCTTAGTCCCAGGTAAATCTGTCACATTTCACTTTACGAACACAACCAAAGTACAAATAAAGCACGGAGGTAGAACAGAATGACTTTTAAAAACATATCTACATGTTTGGCATAGAAAAAAATAATGTATGTGTTGCGATTCAATTCAGCTTATGTAAAATGACTGATGACCCATTAAAGATAAAGATGTTTTTCCAAGCATTTGATGTGCTTGCCTAAAAGTGTCAAATCGCTCCCTGGTTTGCTTCATTAACTTCCCTACTGTACTAATTTGCCCTTTTCAAACAGTCCTACCCTTTTTATTTTATGTTATTTTAAAAGCCTCTTCCATCGTGACGGCCAAATTATGACCCAATGATGACTTATTGTAATTTTTTTCTTGTATGGGTCTGTTTTCTCAGAAGAGTTTTTTAGACAATATCTATGGTGGTTTGTTAATTCAGTTAGTAATTCCTCCAGTTTATCACCAAGTGCTGGCCTGAGGATCAGGTCTCTGCTTTTTGCAGATGATGTGGTCCTGTTGGCTTCATCAGAACATGATCTCTGGCTCTTGCTGGAGCAGTTTGCAGCCAAGTGTGAAGCAGCTGAGATGAGAATCAGCTCCTCTAAATCCGAGACCATGATCTTGAGTTGGAAAAAGGTGGAATGCCTTTTCCCGGGCAGGGATGAGGTTCTGCCTCAAGTGGAAATGTTTAAGTATCTCGGGGTCTTATTCAGAAGTGATGGAAAGATGGAGCATGGGTTGATGCTTCGTCTGCAGTGATGCGGGTGTTGTACCAGTCTGTCATGGGGAAGAGAGAGCTGATCCAGAAGGCGAAGCTCTTGATTTACCGGTCAATCCATGTTCCTACCCTCATCTATGGTCACAAGCTTTGTGTAGTGTTCTAAAGAATGATAGGGTGAGAAGCTCGATCATCTGGGAGGGGCTCAGAGTAGATCTGCTGCCCCTCCACATCGAGAGGAGCCAGTTGAGGCGGCTCGGGTATCTAGTTAAGATGCCTCCTGTATGCCTCCCTGATGAGATTTTCCAACTGTGAGGACATCCAGGATATGCTGGAGGTTCTATGTCTCTCAGCTTGCCAGGGAACACCTTAGGATTCCCCTGGAGGAGCTGGCCCAAGTGGCTGGGCCTCCCTGCACAGGCTGCTGCTCCCACGACCCGACCCCTGAAAAAGCAGAAGAGGATGGATGGGTGTGTCTTTATTACCCATGGAAGGTACGATTAGTCACATTTACATTGAGGTACAACTTGTAAGAATCCTGCTTCTGTGGAAAAACCAACTCGGATACATTTAATGCACTAAAATATGCCAAAATCCCCTGAGATACTTTCCTCTTGGTATTTACTCTAGTGGTTTGGTGTTGCCTGGTGGTTTGGATGGTTGTACATTCCCACAGTAATCATGCTCAGGAGCACATGGATGATCCATTTTCAAGTGGTCACCAATCTGGTCTAGATTTACTCCAGATCAGCATCCCATTCCTCAACCACGAGTTGTTGAGAATCAACCAGCATGGTGGAGTGGGTCACTCTAACACATCTAATCCTCTCCACTCCCACATTACTTTGTGATGATTCTGGGTGTTCCTCAATCCCAAGGAACCTCGCCTTGATGTCTTGGCGCCACCCCAGTTGCCTAAGAGATACTTCATCAGGAACCGCCAAGATGTGTTCCAATGTTCATGTTCTACTGAGGCGTGTGTTCTCCGTTTGTTTGCCATTTAGCTAGCTGAGCAAGGATGCACGGGAGGGTTCTTGTAGCCTAACCTTGGTCAAAAATTACCCAGAATACACCGCGGTATTTTCAAAAGGATGGCGGATCAAAAGCCGACAGCTACTTCAGGGGGAAATTTCAAGTTTAAAAGTAAGTCAACTAATTTCAGATGTATTTTTATATTTGGTGGCTAGCGGGTAGTAACTCGCTTACATATTTAATTTAACAAATATAAACACAATTTAAAAAGTAAAAGGCTCATTATATATTCAAATTGAAACTAATACGTATAAAATATAACGTTGTCTCCCGTGTCACGTGATGTTCAGTCTATGGTGATGTTACGTGACTGCCGTGGAAGCCGCGGCCACGTGATGCAAGTCTGTTCCACTTAACCGTTTTCTTTGACCAAGGAAGAACAGTGTCCTCGTAAGCAATGCGCCTGGCCTCGTAAGACATCACCTCGTAAGGCCACGTGCCTTGACATTGAGAAACGCTGTCTGAATCTGTGTGGAAGAGTTGTGACTGGTAGTATTTTTTTGGCTTTTGACCTTTAATTTACACCTTCCCTCCAGCATAAGGATTGTGACCAGACTTTATTTTAGGAGTGATAAAGAGGTAGATTAGGATTTTCCTAAAACATTTCTCCCATACTGTCGAGTTTGTTTGAACCATTCTACCACTGTAACTTGAGTCTTAATCCTTCTACCATTAATTCTAATGTATGTAGTTAGAAGAGTTTTATGTAGATTTAAGCGCTTAATTCTCTCCCTGTACACATTAGCGCTGCAGCAGCAACTACAATACTGATAGTCCTGCAACTGCAGATATCTAAAGAAGTCTTCATTAGTAAATCCATATTCCTACTAAAAATATTTTTAAATTCTGTTTTAATAATAAAGATTGTGGTAAAGAATCTCAATTTCAATCTAAATAATCGTGGTTCTCATGTTTGTCATAGTCGAGCAGCCCTGGCCTGGTTAAACTCCAGTTTCTAAGGTAAACTATCTGAGCAACTGTGGCTTTGTTTTCTAACTTAAATAGTTTTGTTACTTCTAACTAAATATTCAATGTATGATAAGTTATCACATATTTCATTTTGTTGCATCTTTGCAAACTTAATGTTTTCATTGAAGGACAGACTAGATTTCAAAGCGACAGACACTTGAAACTTGGTCCAAAGATTGGAAATGGCACCAGAGCTGACACCAAATTATGCTACCATTATGCATACTGGAACACCAGCTTCCAGTTAGCCTGTTGAACTGCCCTCATTCTTAAGGATTGTGTTAAATACTAATGTGACATGTCAATGCTTGGAGCAGACACAAACTCAACAAAATAGCAGGACTCATGCACACAACTGCTGTCAGTTAGGTGCCCAATCAGGTGCCAGTCAAATATCAGCAACTGGTGCACACCTGGCAGCCCAAATTGAGTGAATACCAACACATAACTGGGTGCATGGCAGCTGTAACTCAGCAGGTAGGACGGGTTGTCCAGTAATCAGAAGGTCATAGGTTTGATCCCAGTTCCTGCCAGAATATACTGTTGTGTCTTTGGGCAAGACATTTAACCCACCTTGCCGGTGGTGGTGGTGGTGGTTGGAGGGACCGGTAGCACCTGTGTTCAGCAGCCTCACTTCTGTCAGTGTGCCACTGAGGCAGTTGTGGCTCCATTGTAGCTCCTCATCACCAGCGTGTGAATGTGTGAATGGATGAATGACTGATTGTGTTGTGAAGCACCTCAGGGAAGTGAAGAACCCTAGAAAGTGTATAACAAAATGCAAACCATTTACCATTCTATTTGCTGGAGTGCAGTGCTCACGTATTTAGTTGTGTTGCTCATCTTACGGATGCAAAATCTTTATCTTGCTGTTAGGAAGATCAGTATGGGTGCACTGATTGCTGTTTTTTGTCGATCACCGATCTTGAGAAGAACCTGACTTGCCGATACCGATTTTTGCTGATACCGATTTTGTTTTAACCAAAAGCAGATTACATAAGTGTTTACATTTCCTTTAATTGAAACTATATGAATACTCATGAAATAATACCAGTTTAAACTGGACGTGAGGTAATGTTCTCAAATATAAAGAAACATATTTAGCATTGCTGTTTGAACTCCAAAATCAAATTTGTTCCTTTAGACTTTATTTGTTTAATTTTGAAAACAAAACTTTTGTACCTGTTTTGACCCACTTGTCCAAATAAAATTATTCTATGGCAATGATTTACTTTAACATTCACTAGGGGTGCACCTGTTGCAGTTTTTGTCCGATCACCAATCTTGGAAGAAAAAAAAAAACAAGATCGGGGCCGATAGATCGGTGCACCCCTACAAATCAGGCTTTTCAGTGACATCAAATATAATATCAGTTGGGATTATTAAAGCAGTGAAATGATTAGCTGATTTATTTTCTTCAAAATTTTAGGTGGGATTTTTGATTTTCAGAATATAAATTTTAAATTTTCAGAAGACAGTTTTATTTAGCAGTGGACTCCTCAAGCCTCACTACAGAAACCTGCATCAAGTGCAGATGGATTTATTTGCATTGCATATCACAACAGATGTCCCTGTATTTCATTACTGGAGCACCTTATCCTCCTACCCCAGCTATCTGTTATTCTAATGTATCACTCAATAAGCTCTAGACATGAGTAAGGTTGGTTAGTAAGGCTCGGATGTCTCTCTCCCTCCATACTGAAATCCTCTCTTTGAGTTTAAACCCCTGAGTCCCTGCCAACAGCAGCTCTCATGGCACGTTCGTGGCTCATCTTGTGGCTCTGATGATAATTGAAAAGCATCTACTGTTACATGAACCCACTTTCCCCATCTCCTCCCCCCTCCTGACAGGGTTGTCGACGGCACTGAAGACAATGGGCACACGTTCAACTTCACGATGGAGCACAGCGCGTCTAATACCAGCACAGGTGGCAACACCCAAGGTAAGGCACACTACCTCCAGCTGTGAGGGCGACCTTGATGCCAGATGGCTGGAGGTACATTCGAGTTGAAACTGTGGATTCAACAGGACAGTGCTGCCTCCTTCTGAGGAAACCCGAGAGCACAGCAGAGTGAAATGACAGCAGGTGTCCAAAGAGTCAGAGAACATGTTAAAGGATAAATGAGGTCAGAGCAGGGTTCACTGATAACAGTCCCTCTAGGATCACTGCTGAGTTCAGGTCAGATTAGGTCCAACAGGTGTCCTTTACTCTTTCACACACGAGTCAACAGCTGTGCAGGTCCTCTCAGCAGTTTTCTGATCGCATTATAACTGTTTCAATTTTTTAAAGACGTGTTTAAGAAATGCAAGGGCATACTTTGTCCCAAGGAGTACATCTTTACATTTTAATGGAATTAACGCTTAAACTTTTGACAGAACCCTTCTGATCCATTTAAGACAAAAATATGTTTGCTTATTTTCCAAGTTGGTGTGCCCAATTTAAAACTAAAGAACTTAAATTTGTGGTCAGATTTCCTGAATTAAAGATCAAATTTGAGTATTTTATGCCACCACTAATTAGCTGCACCATTTTTAAAATGAAGTGAATTTATAGCTGCAGAGAAAAATGTGCAGGTAATAACTGCGGCCTTTCTGTGTGGAGTTGCATGTTCTCCCCATGCATGCGTGGGTTTCCTCCGGGTACTCCGGTTTCCCCCATAGATTACAGCACAGGTTAAAAATGGTATGTCTGCCAAATAGACATAAACATAATTGCAAAAAAAAAAAAGATTTTTTTTTAATCCAGGTTTTCTGAAGTGAGCTGGCAATTTGAAATACTCATGTCACAACAGTCTGCCCATCATCAGACTGAGAGCAGCTGCTGCACAGCTGAGGGACATCACACTGAGTGAAGAAGGAAGGACCAGGAGAACACTGGTCAGTCCAAAGCTTTTAATAGATGCAAGTAAAAAAATCTATTTTCCATCTATTAGAACCTTTGGACTGACCAGTGTTCTCCAGTTCTTTCCTTCTTCACACATTTTGAAACATTTACTGTGTTGTCCTTTTTCCCAAAGAAGCAAATAAGTCACCACCAACTGCAGCAGCAGAGCAGCAGCTAACCAGGTGCTGCAGCAGCTAACCAGGTGCTGCAGCAGCTAACCAGGTGCTGCAGCAGCTAACCAGGTGCTGCACCAGCGTTAGCCCACCTTTAAAAGTAAATTCATTAAGACAAAGCCTTCAGTACAAAATTATAAAATCCCCAAAACACACAAGACTCAGTTCACAAACAACATGAGCCTCCCAAAGTGTTTGTAGTCTTCTCCTGGAGAGCATCTCCTACACACGGGAAGAAAACCCCTCACTCAAAGTAAACATGCATTGTATAATCTTGTCTTGACTCAATGAACTAAATGTTGTAAAAAGCCCTTGCTGACTTTTTCAAAGTAAATTGTTTTATTTTATTTCTTTTTTCCTCTAGAGTCCACCAAAGCTAACACTGCTCTGCTGCTGGAGACGGAGGAGGTCAAACAAAGCTTAAATCAACTAAACCTAAAGGTAGCCTGCTAGCAGAATCTACCATCACTGCTTAATGATTTGCACGTTTTCTGGTGCCAACATGAAGCTGTTCATTTAGAGCTCTAAAAGAGAAAAGCCGATATTTATAGTGAGACAGAAATTTTCAGTGTATTACTAAAGTATTTTATAAGACAGCCTTTTTAGTGTGGGTGTGTAATAACAAATCACTAAGAATACACATAATATGTGTCTCCCTGTGTCCAGTGCAACCTTTTAACATGAGAGCAATTAAAGTAGTGTAATACTGTCACCATCAGCAGGGCACTTCTGCAGAGTAGAGGCTCCTCTGAGCGCTGACTGAGCAATTCAAAGGATAAACAGACAGTTCAACTCTATTTGTTGACTGCCTGCCCCTCTTTTGTAATTAGACTTGTCCTGGAAGGATTTCTCAGTGTTATATCTTCATGTATTTCAAGTATTTGTAAGTCTACTCTACCTACACAGGTGGGCACATTAAACCAGGAAGTGTCGGAGCTGACCAAGGGCCTGCACCACATGATGAATCTGCTCCAGGCTCACATATCTGTAAATCTCCAAAATACCTTGTTCCCCGCCTGCATTCCTGCAGCCTCCAGTACTGGTGTGCCAGTAGCATCTGCTTCACCCTACTGCCTCCACACCAGTCCAACCATTGCCCACTGGAGCTGCAGTGGAACAACTGCGTCACAAACTGAGAGCCACCAGTCATCTTCCTCATCCACTAACTCTTGTCTTTCAGTAAATGCTGCATCTAAGGAGGGTCTGTGTCATAGCTCTGAGAGCAGGACCTCTCTTCTGTGGACCAGCCCATCTCTTCTCACTTCAGGCTCCTGTGGTGGAACACACCTTACCAGGCGGGGGGACTCCAGACCTCTGGGTGCTAGTCCAACCACGATCAGCCAGTCTCATCCCACTTTGTGCCTGCAGTCTCCTGATGGTGATGATTTATCTTGCCTTTTGTCCAGTGTTGCTACTGGTTCATCTACACATAGTCTACTGGACCAGTCCAGCAGATCCTGTTCCCCTCTAAATATCTTGCAAGCCTCAAATGAGACCGTTCATCCTCTGGTTCATAACCTGACTCGGGTTACCTCTGTCTTCCACACGGAGGACTCACACCCATCCATCCAGCCAGTGTCTTCTTCTACTACTTTACTCTGCCAGCCTTCCGTCTCCTTTATGGATCCAGGATCAATAAAGCTGGATGTTCTACAGCCCACTTGCTCACTAGGCAGCCCCTCTGCCTCAGACCACACCAGTTTGGAGTGTCTCCTGGGAAACAAGGAGTCTGTGGAAAGTACAGACAGTCAAAGTGCATCATCACGAAGACCCAGCACCGAAGTTCAGACTCAGAGCACCGAGCAGTCATGGAGTCTGGATCTGACTGAGTGAAGTGTTTTAGGTGCCGACTGATTTTACTGACATGCAACTTCAACAGTGTTTAAACAGTCTCTGCTAAGATTGTTCTCGTTTTCTTTATTTTAATCTTTTGATTCTTAGGCTTCTACTTTTGTCATTTTCTATGCAAAAAGCATGTTTTGTGCATTATGTTGGCTTTACTGAAGTGTGTCTTTAACAAAATATTTATTGTATTTTTTTTCCAACATCCTTTGAGCCTTTTGCCATTTATGATACCCGTTACCTGTCTTGCATGGTAAAGTTTTCTTAACTTTTTTCCTAAGGAAAAGGTTTCCACATTTAATGTGTAAGCATTCTACATGACGAGCTGTTGATTGTGCACATTGATGCTGCATTTATATGGCCGATACGTTAGAAGTGTTGGATATTTTATCACATAGACAAACAAACATGACATATGGTTCCCTTTTGCATGAGATGTGCACTTTATGCATAGATTGTTGTATTTATTGAATGTGTTTCTCAGTTCATCATATTTATTTGTCAGTTTGGTTTATTTTCAAAACTCGATCAAGTAACGCACATCAAATTCTTTAAATTATTCTTTTTTAATTTTTCTAAATTATCTAGACATACTTGCAAATTAATTGCAATACACTTGTATTACCAAAACCACTTAAAACTAGGTTTACTATCTACTAATAAAACCATATTTAACTTGGAAGGTGGTTTTCTGACTTAATTCTAAATAATTATAATTCCGAAAGCATCTGAGAAAAAAAATGATGATATTTGTACATTATTAGGAATATGTAGAAGTTTTGTATTCTCTCTGAATGATTTTTCTTGGCTGGAAATAAAATGTAGAACATATATTACCAGGTCATGTTCTTTTTCTTGTGTTGTCACAACTGAATTCATACTGAATTCTATTGGCCGCAAAAAAAGCAGAGTGTGTGCCGCGCTTCAGCGCGAGCGCGTCCACACGTCATGCTCAAACAGTGGCGCCTCCAGAAATGTTTTTCTGCAGGTGCTATGAAGGAGCTAGTCTTTTTATTGAGGGTGCAGTGAAGGAAGTGGTCATGCGTACCTATTGTTCTCTAAAACACCTTCAACACTAGCAGATACACATGCGTGCACAAAACCTCAACAACACCTGAAACAATCCTTAATATGCATCTTAAACATATGAACAATCGCTGACTTTTCCATGAAATCTTAAACACATACAGCCGCACAGAAAACCATCTATAGTGTTGCAAGGTTAGCTAACGTTAGTGTTAGCATTTCCAGCGGCAAAACCCTCAACTGCTGCGGCGTTTGAGGGTTGACTCTCTTCATCCAGATCCATAGGTTTTTGTGGGTCTGAGGTGCACTTCCAAAGATTCATTCATTTCTGACTGAACCTGTGGAAATTTGGGCAACAAAAACCGATTCATTTTACCACTAGCTCTACCTTTCACTCGTTCGCAGGTGGAAAATGAGGTCAAAGGTTAGCATCAATTACCTGTTTTGGTTTAAGTTTTTACTATCTATATGATAATTTACTGATTATTTTTGCTTTGTATGTTAAATATTGCCACATCCACACGTTAAATTACTATTAAATTGTAAAAAAAATTAAAAATCTAATATTTACTTTGGGGTGCAATGACTAATCCAGGGGCAGCTATAGCGCCCTCTAGTGTCCCCCCCCCCCCCCCCCCCCCCCCCGAGCCGCCACTGTGCTCAAATACAGACAGAACTTACCAGAGAGAAAATGAACAGACACGAATGACTGTGTGTAAATTATATATTTTTTGGTGACGCCACCTTGAAACTTAGAAAATGTTTCTGTGGCCGTGTGCAGCCTCCCAGCTGCAGCTGGAGTTCATGAATAATCAGCGGTCTGCCTGCTGCACTGCTCAAAATAATCCCCGCTATGCTGAGTCCATATAAATAATATAATATAGGTAGAAACTGGATCTCTTTTGTACGGGGTGTGGAAGTTAAGGGCATCAGGGGAGCCTGACAACCTTTGAGGAGAACCAAGTTGCTAATTTGAACCCAGTATCCAACTCCGGATCGGGGCTTGGATCGGGAAGTAAAGCCAGAGTCCCGATCAGTCTGAAACCACGTGATCGGGGCCGATTTCCGATCATGTGATCGGATCGGGACATCCCTAGTTTAAACTTGTGGCCACAATGTAGCTCCTCATCAACGGAGTGAATGATTCATTGTATCATTAACGTGTAAAGTGCTTTGGAGTCCTCTGACTTTGAAAGATACTATACCTCGTTAACATTTATCATGACAGCTTTCTCATTATTAGTAGCCTTAAATTTTATGAGTTTTTTGGTCAGCTTTGTTTTTTTCTTGATTTAGCTCTGAACTGATATGACTCAATCTGACCTTTTAGCGCACCTGCTTTATAGACAACATAAGCATCAACTATACACTTGAGACTGCCATCTCACCCTGGGTGGTCTCGTCCTTGCAAGCTCGGGTCCTCTACCAGAGGACTGGGAGCTTGAGGGTTCTGTACAGATGTTCCTGGAACTGCACTTTTCTGGACTGAGATGTCTGATGTTTTTCCTTGGGTGTGCTTTAGCCACTCCTCCAGTTTGGGGTTGCTGCCTCGAGTGCCCCGATGACCATGGGGACCACCTATATCATCGATATTTATACAGTGCAAAAATTTTAGGCATGTGTGGAAAAAAATTGTAAAGAAAGAATGCTTTTAAAATGGAAGTGTTAATCATTTATTTTCATCATCAACAAAAAAAAATCTGTGAATGAACTTTGTTGCCCTCTAGTGGTGGCTGTGACATAAAGCCGCACTCTGCAGACCAATCTGTGACACCTCAGTTTAAAAGACACACTTCAGTGGTTTTGCTCGCTTGTATTCTAGATCTAGTTGTTTCAGTCATCACCAACATCTCAAGATCATAGGTGAGATTTAGGACACAGATGAACTGGTAAATTAAAAGCTTTGCTTTGTGGCTTAGCTCCTTCCTCATGTAAGTAAGTAACTTTTATTTCTATTGCATCTTTCACAGTTTCTCATTAAAACGGAATAAAATACAAGAAAATCAACAAACATGAGAATAAGACAATCAATAAAATTATTAAAAGCAAGTTTTAAAAGCCTGTTTTTTTTAAACACTCAAAAGGAATCAACACTGCTGTAGGGTTACTCTACATATGTATTTTGGGGTTTATGATCAATAAGATTTGATGATTCCATATAACTATAGAATATCAACCTGACTGATCCTTGAATATTTAACCAGAACAATCAGGATTCTTTGTTTATTCAGTGTAGCATCCAGCAATGGCCAGTTTAGGCACTGTTTGACCTTTCACCATATATTTAACATCTGGTCAGAAAGGAGACACAATATTGCATGTGTTCCCTTAAAATGAGTCTGCCTTCACACCAGCTGGGATTCAGACTCTGCTAGTCTGAAAGATAAACAAAAACTTTCTTTCCCCACAAGGTCCCATCTGTCTGCCACCAGAAGAAAGAAGAACTCCAGCGAATCAGTTGTTACATTCAAGAATATTTTAATAAATCAATATTAACTACTTCTATGACTTATAATCTAGATAATCATTAAATAAACATTTGTTTACTTACAATCATTAATGCTTCATTAATCTGTACACACTGAATGGATGTTATATTATGTTGTCTACACTGCAATGTGTTCACCATGTTTTGACGACAAGGTCCCACACCTGCATCCACACAATAACAAGTACATTTAAGTTCAATCCATGACACCTTTTACCCAGATCAGAGCCTCTGAATCAAAGAAAGCGTGTTTCCGAGTTGTCTTGGCAACATCTCTCAAACATGTCAGCCTCCGATACGCTGTGAAAATCATAACATCAAATCTTTAAAACTAAAACACATTGAGTGATTTGCCGGTTCTAGAGAAAACTTCAGACCGGCTATCTGTAGCCAAACCTCTTTAACCATCAAACATTTTGACACGTCGTCAAAACCTTTTTGCACCTACAAAGCTGAGACAGCAAAATAGTTCCTGCAGAAACGATATTGTTCAACTCCTCAAGAGTTATTCCTGAGACGCAAGCTGATCCCAACCTGTGCTGTCTGGTGACAACTCTGGACTGGAGAAGTCGGTGTTTGCAGTCAATCTACTGGACCCGGGTGCCCCGAGGTCATCCGACCTCTCTGACCTTCAGATCCGTGACGAGGGTCATCAAAAGAGTGAGGTAGAACACAGAGAGATTGCGTCTGAATGTGCTTCTGACGATAACTTCATAGCTTAAGCAATCCAAATTCTTTTTCATCCGGAGACGCCGCTCTCCGAGATTCAGAAGTTCTGATCAACAACACATTGACACATAGCCTTCATCACCTTTAGCTTCATCCAATCACAGAAAATGTTTAGTTCACTTATCATGTTATAACTGTAATAAAATCATTTCTTACTTTATAAATCTGACTCTTTTCTGAATCAAAACGAAGCGTGTATAATTACTTAATAAAGCAAAAATCCTATAATTTTCTGATTAAGCCATATAATCTTCTGATATTTACAATTAAGATCAAGCAAGGTAATATTGTATATTTATACAGGATATCACATAAATAATACATTTGCCTTCCGCTACATCAGGGACCGTAAGCACACTTCATATTAATTCAGACAAAGTCAAGTTTTTCAAAAGTGAGAAATTTATTTTCTAAACAAATTATGAGACATGACAACCATGAAAGAATGATGTGTGTTGGCGTGTGTGTTGGAGTGTGATGTGTGATGATAGAATTTGATGTTTATCAGAACCCTCGTATCTGGAAGAAACTGAGTTCTGAGTGTGATTGAATTTGGTTTGCTATAAACTAGAAGTGATGTTTTATAAAACGGCTTCAGACGCAATCTGTCGCACCTACGTACCCTTTATCAGAGACCCCCGTTGCAGATCTGGAATGACAGGAAGTCCGTGGACCCTAAGGCACCGAAGTCCTTAGGAGAAACCGCAGCACCACTAGACTGGTCTCAAGTTGTCTCCAGGTCACAACAGGTAGTTGTTTGCATCTAAGCGGTGTCAGCTTTGTTCTGAAGGAACCGTTTGCTGTGTCAGCCTTGGCGTGCAACAGGTTTTGATGGCTTGCCAAAAGATGCGGTGGTTCAACAAGTTTTACTTTAGGTTGGCCAGTCCGAAGTTCTGCTCAAACTGAACCACCTCAGGAAGGAATTCTAGTTTTATTAAATCCTAGTTTATGATTTACTGACAAATCAGAAGTTTACATGTTAAGGAGGTTTTACCAAAAAACCTCAGAAATCACACCTTCTTCAGATAAAAGACGCTCTGATTTTGTGGTTAAGGAAGTCTCTATGTGAATGCAATTACTTTAACTTATATATATATATATATATATATATATATATATAGATAGATAGATAGATAGATAGATAGATAGATATGTGTGTGTGTGTGTGTGTGTGTGTGTGTGTGTGTGTGTGTGTGTGTGTGTGTGTGTGTGTGTGTGTGTATACATACATATATACAGTATATATACTCAAAACCAATTGCCAATGGTGTTAAGGTTGACCAATGACACACAATTGTTTTTAATGTGTCAAAAAATCTGATCTTTTTTATTAATGTTTTCATTAAAAAGAAACAAGTAATTATTTTTTTCAATAGCTTCTATGTAAATTGATTTAAAAAAAACTAAATCAGTTCCCAGAGGTGTCAGCTTGGAACTACCAGGCAGTAAAGACTCAAAACCATCTTTTGGACAGGAGGCAATACAAGGCCCCCAGTCCACCCACCACCTTCTCACGCATGGAAAACTCCAAAAATTGGCAGCCCTGAGAGTTATATATTATGTCTATGTGGAAAGACTCTCACCTGCCAGCATATGATCACTGGGTTGAGGACAGTGTATGGTTGAGGAGGCTGTGTCCCATGTACACCTGGGGAAGATCAGGAACACATTGAAGGGCTCAATTGATAAATTCAGTGTTGTATGGTTGTCATTTTAGTTGTATTTTAATGATATGTATGTTGATAAGTTGTCCAATTTTTTTTGTGATGGTTTCTTTTCTTTTAGAAGATTATAAGTATTTTGATTTAGAATCACCTTTTCTGCTTGCTTTCTGTTTTTGAAAGTTGATCCAGCGTAGCAGGGTGGGAAGGTCTGTTTATTTTTGTTGTTGACATTTTTTATTTATTTATTTATTTATTTATTTATTTATTTATTTATTTATTTATTTATTTTATGTTAAAATCAAATGAAAATATATTGTTGAAGAAAATCTGCTTGTTGGACCAGTTTGACCCAGTTTGGTGCCTGGGCCATTTGATTGGCTTGATTTTATGTCATGTGACTCAGAAATACAGGAAGTGTTTTGGTCACTCAACGCGGAAGCGAATAAACAGTTTTAGGGGAAACAAGCGTTGTTGAGAATGACTGGCATATAGTGTTTTTGCAGTGAGGGTCCAAGCTTTGTTTGCTGTCGTCGGTAAGATTGCTGAGCAGGTTTTTGTTCCTTTAGGTAGCAGTAACTTTGCTAACTCATCGATAGCATTAGAGCTAATTTGTTGCTGTTGTGTTCCTTGTTAATAAATAACTCAAGTCGGTTTTGTGGTCGATTTATTTACAGCTTTTGTGTTTAGGATGGAAGTCATAAGCGAGTCTTTGTTGTGTGAAAGTGTACTGTGGAGATTCCACGGTTGAGACGATACAATAAACAAATAAAAAAAAATTGCTGTGAAGTCAGTTTCAGTTCACTTAAGCTAAAACACTTAACTATCCTGCCAGTTCCATGTTATCGGGCTCGTGGCGGACTGAAGTGGGCTTTGCACTCGTTTTCTGTCCAGTACCTAACCGTTTCGTGATATTCTTAGTTTCTGTGACTAATTCTAGCATATAAAGCTTCATTAAATCAGTGGATCAGCTAGTTGTTAGGCACTCATGAGAGGAAATTTGGCAAAGAGCCTATTTTAATTTAGATTTTTGTTACGAGCAAAGTGTGACAGAGACAGTATTTGTTTCTACGTGTATTTTGAATCTGTGAAATTACTGATAAATAAATATATATTTTGACACCTCAAGGTGATTTCTTATGAGTTGTTAGGCGAGAACCTGGCCTACAGTAGATAGATGTGCCCTGTGTCTGGTGTTTGCTTGATTTATGCATTTATTTAATGCCTAAAGTTCATATACAGTAGCCCTGGCACTACTAAACTAAACCCAATTTGATAAATGCACATTTAATAACGCACTGGGCAAAATTCCTTCATACACATGTGGTATTACTGGATGGAAAATGCAGTCTGTACAAAGAAAATGTTTGAAAATTAGAAGTTTTTAAAAATATTTCAAGAAAGTCTGACAACTTATAAACCAATTTGGATTTTGTTTCTGTGTGTGTGTGTTGAGAATGTTATAACAAAATAATTATGTGCAAATGTATTTAATATTGCACTTAATTTTTTATGTTTAACATTTAATTTAATTATTGATGTTCAGCCCATAAAATTCTGCAGGACATTAGCTCAGAAGGTGCTACCATCCATTCAAAAGCATTCTCTCAAAATTACTGCTAAAGATAAATAAACCAAGGAAATCTGCTGTGTAACTTCCTAGTATGTGATCATAAATGCATTGTTGAGGGAGAAAGACATTAGGAACTAAAAACAGTTGATATTTTATAAGAGAATGTCGGGAACTAAAAAAGCATGACAGATGCCGTTTGTCACTATTTTATTTTGAGTTTATTTGTGCATGTTTCATCAACTAGAAAAGATGATGAAAAGTTAAACCTTTGTTTATCTTTTGTTTTGTTTTTAGGGATCCTGTCACTTCATTGTTTCTTGGTTAGTTTGACCCAGTGTGATTACTGACTGAGTTCCCACTCCTAGGAGCTGTACTTTACATCCTCGATCTGTAGTTTTTCTCAGCCTGCCTCCCTTGACCAGTCTCTGTCTCATCAATGGCTGGGCACAGCGGCGGATCAAACAGGCCTAACAGCACTGCAGGGCCAAACAAAATCTGCCAGTTCAAGCTGGTGCTTCTGGGGGAGTCGGCGGTGGGCAAATCCAGTTTGGTGCTGCGGTTTGTCAAAGGACAGTTTCATGAATTCCAGGAGAGCACAATTGGCGGTAAGATGATTTGAAATTTTCTTGTAAATCGTTGCTTACCTGAAGGCTGATTACATGTGTTATTCAATGTTGCATTAGTAGTTAAACATTTCTAAAAACCCTGTTTGAGAGGTCCTTAAGGGTTTAAAAATAGCAGCTGCTTGTACCATTATTCCCTAAACTATTTCAAACATGGACTGTTTCCTGGGCCAAAAGTCGGGCATCTCTTAAAAGAGAGTTATTCAGCATGATTTGTAACTAAGTTACAAACAATTAGTGTTGTGAGTCATGTGATCCATTGTGGCTTGCTTTAATGAAACATCATGTATGTGTTTCTCTTTTGTTTCTCCTGTTTGGATCTTTGGAGATTTTTTTATTTTAATTTTTTTTTAATACAATCAGTGACATGGAGCTTCACTTGCATGCAGAATGTGAAAATAGTTTTCTATCCATATTTCCTGCAGCAGCCGCCTAAACGAAAACTCAGATCAGAAAAAGCCACACTGGTCTACGCCCATCTTGGCTTGTGACGTGGAAGGTTGTGTTGATTTAGCATCCAGGAGAGAGCAGAGCACGTCTCAGCTAGCAGAAGCTAACCATTAGCATTAGTAACTCCACAACATAGCAGAACTCCTTCAACTTGTCTTATTAGTGGAGATGAAAAATCAACATTACATTTTTTTAATCCAAGACAAATGGCAAGCAGAGGCAGTGCAAGAGTTGTGTTGCTGTTATCCAATCAGAGGTGAGAGATTAACCCCTTCTTTCCACCGTAATAGCTGTGTTTTATCCATATCTGGGAGCAATTCTGACATGAAACCAGCTGATACCGTGATGTCACAAAATGACAAATGAGAATTGCAACACCACGCGTGATTTCAGACATCCACACACAACAATTAGGAAGGAGAAAGACAACTGCATGTATCATTAAAGGTCTGTGGTTTATTTCTGTTTTGTTTAAATTGGCTGTGGGGATTTTAACAGGAAATGACATACATTTACCTGCATGCGACTTTTATTTTGAAAGTTTCTGGAAGTTTTACACTGCTTTTGTGCTTGACGTCCTGTCTGGCGTGATCTAAACTGAGGAGTTTGAAGTGTTTTGGAAGAATAGTGCGTAAAAAATAAAGTTCTTGAAATGTAATGATAGCATGCCCTCGCTTCTGGGACACTTTGCTGTCGGTGGAAAGGAACTCATCCACTATAACGGCGGCTAATTGCCGCGTAGCACGTTTTGCAGGCATTTTGCGATGCTTTCACGGGCGGTGGAAAGAAGGGGTAAGACTCAGAATCCTGCCGTTTTCTCCCTCCCTCACCTTCGGCTAAGTCCTACTTCCTGAAACAGGAGTACCAGAGCTTTTTTCCACAGAAAACAACTAGGCATTCGATTATAGTAGAGGCCACAGCAGATTTATTGAAATAACTAGTGAATGTCGCTTTGACTGACAGACTCTACCCAGGCTTTGGTCTCAGGCAGCTACTTTATTATTTTCCAATTTGACTTGATTTGACCAAAAATAAATGAGTACAATTTTCATCAGTGCTATTTTGGCCTAAGCTGGTCTATTTACTTGATCCCATCAACCGTGAGCAATAGGATGTAAACTTCTTTCTGATTTGCTCCTCAGCTGCTTTCCTCACACAGACGGTGTGTCTGGATGACACAACTGTGAAGTTTGAGATTTGGGATACAGCTGGTCAGGAGCGCTACCACAGCCTGGCGCCAATGTACTACAGAGGTGCTCAGGCAGCTATCGTGGTCTATGACATCACCAACAAAGCGAGTATTACCAGCAGACAAGCCAACCTTGTTTTTCTTAAACCACTGGGAAAGGACAGCATTTCTAAAGCAGTTTTATGGTTTTATTAGGACACTTTTGAGCGTGCTCAAAACTGGGTGAAGGAGCTTCAAAGGCAAGCCAATCCAGACATAGTGATCGCTCTGGCAGGCAACAAGGCAGACATCTCAGACAAGAGAGCTGTGGAGCATCAGGTAGGAAGAAGCAGTGATTAAGTTGATTTAAACAAGAAGAGATTATTTAGATTTATACATACATCAGTGTTTTACTGGATTAAGGTACTGTTTATATAACTGATATTCTCAGGAGGCACAGGCGTATGCTGACAACAGCAGCTTGCTCTTTATGGAGACTTCAGCCAAAACTGCTGTGAATGTGAATGAAGTTTTTATAGCTGTTGGTAAGTACTGGTATGAGAGGAATCTGCCTTCTTACTACTTCCTCAAAAAGCTTTGCATGAATTTGTTTAATATGTTGTTATAAATCTGTGTTTGTTGTTTTGTAACCAGTGATCAATATTTAGATTTTAAAACCCTAAAATTCATATTTTTTTAATCAAGTTCTCATTGCTGCTGACTCTGTATTACATTCTGTTCTGAATCCTGTCTGATAAAACGAGGGAAATTTAATGTTTTGTGCAGAATGAACATAATTTTTTTAAGCTAAAGTTTTGTTTAAATGTTTGTTTCTCTGTAGCAAAGAAGCTACCAAAGAGCGACCCTCAGGGCAGATCCGGTCAAGCTGCAAGGACAGGAGTGGATCTAAACAACTCGGCCCCCCAGAGCCACGGCAGAAGGTGCTGTTCTAATTAATGTTTAACAAAACAATGGACCGAGCAAAGCGAGCCGGGAACATCTTTTTAAGGACAAAACCTCGACGGGCAGGAGACGGCGGAGCTACTCGCTGCGCCTGCACATGCCCCCACGTTACAGATGTGATTATCTGGATCCTGTTTGGTTAAAGGAACTCTTTACAAGAATCATAAGCTAGAGGGAACTCCCAGCACCCCTCAACTCTCCTCTACTGTCCGTCCTTTTTTGTCACTCGAACTGTTCGGTTTAGTTGATTAAATGGTCATGTTTTACCTTCTGAAGTGTGACTGAGATTGCCAGTTGCTCTGTATGCTTGTATGTTGTGAGTATGTGTATATAGTATATATTTTGCACACACATTTTTCTCTACATTAATCTATGTAGTCTGCAAATACCTGATTATTAACGGTGCAGAAGTGATTATGTGTTTAAACCACAGCATTTATTTTTACCCTCATGCACCTTGGATTACCATCTATAACTAATGTTTATAGTATTGTCTTTCATCTAGTATAAAGTCCTAATATTACCCCACACTAGTTTCATTTTTGGTAACTTGTTGAAAAAATGCAGTGACTCCAAGGTCCTGTAAGGAGATGGCGACATTTTTAATCTTCAAATCTGTTTCCAAGACGAGGGACGTGACTTGTTGCCTTGTTTTAAGTTTACAGGAAGGCAGCGAGCTCTTGGGAGTTTAGAATGTGGTCAGGTTGTACTGACTGCATTTTGCACCTTGCTGGGATTTTATCAATGTCACCTACAGCCTAACTGATGTGTTAGCGCAGCAGTCCCAACACGTGTTAGTCATTTATTTGAACCAATTAAATATTTTTACTTTGACCAGATTGCTCCAGCCTTCTTTTCCACGGCTTTAAAAGGATCTCAGACACTTTCCCTCATTTTCATGCCCGGTGGAAAGGAGTTGTGTGTGCGTGCACACACTCCTGAGAAGAAGCCAAAAAAAAATTACTGTTCTAAAGACCCTCAAAATTTTGCCTATATGGACATGAGTTGATATTACACACATGTGGGAACGTTTCTGCACAAACACAGCTTTCATTTATTGAGTGTTGATCACTGTAACACCTAAAAGTTAGTGACCTTTTTTTTAAGTAGCTTGTAAATCAAAAATGAACATGCAATATGTCTTAGCTCATGTATCTTTTGTGTGTGCTGCTTTTATTTTTGTTGTTTAGCATTTCGGTACTAAAAGCGCTCCTTCTTGTACTTTAGATTATTCACTGATCAGTCGATCAAAACGTTATTCCTGATATAAATATATGTCCATATTGTCAGACAACAAAGAGAAACAAAATGGAATAATGAAAAAAATAATAAAAGTATTACATTTGTAAGTCAAATAAAAACGTGGTAAATAATCTCTAATTTTGTTCATTATATAAATGAAAAATCTGATTACTTTTTAGCTACAAGAATCGTAGCGGTGATGCTTTTTCAGACACATCTGCTGTCACCAGTTTGGACCACTAGATGGTGGCATTGTGCTGATATCTAAATGAGTTTGGGTGCTTCTCAGTTTTCACAGGGTATTTTATAAGGACGAAACAAAACATACATGTTCGGGTGTAACAAGGTAATCAGCAAGCACTAAAAAGATCAGCTGGTTGATAATGTGTTTGTGGTTGCATGCATGTTCATTTCTGTGTAGAAACGTTAAATTAGCCCTGCAGGCAGTGCCAGAAAAAAGCAATTCTGCAGGGAAATGACACATTAGTGTTGTGATTTATTTATGTTCACATCATTACCCCACAATTCATTTGGGTGCTTTCATTCTCTGCATTATCTCATCAGCTCACCTTGTTAAGATTTATGCCCGTTTTCATGAATTTGCATAAAGATATATATCACCTGATCAACTTGTGTTCAGGAAAACTATTATGTCGATGAGGAAAACCCACAGTGCTAATTAACATAATCTGGGGCATCATTTATCAAGCTTGCTTACGCACAAAATGGGGTTGGAAAACTGCAAGCAACTTTCCATGCAAACTTTGGGATTTATGAAAGACAACTTAGCTAAAATTATGAAGTCCTGCAGCATTATCACTTGTACTGCTTCGTTTTCACACAGAACAAGACCCCCCCCCCCCCCCCCCCACACACACACACACACACGCGCGCGCGCGCGCGCGTACACACACGCGCACACAGCCTGAAGCGCAGAATACGGAATGCAGATTATCAGGAGGGGAACAGATTGAGACAGATTGCCATGCGTCTGTGAGTGTGTCCTGTCACTGTGACCCAATTGATCATGAGTCCTTGCTAGATGAAAACGGGAGATGTCTGTTTGGCTGACTGGTTAGCGCGCATGACTTTGACAGGTCGGGGGATCGAATCCCGAAAGGACCATTTTTTTATATCCGCCACAGATCTCTCTGAAGAATTCAAAACATTCACGGCTTCAGCAACGCTGTGCCACTCAGTGGATTTTCTCTTATTTGTTTTGCAAAAGTACTTCCTTTCATTTCTCCATCTCATGGTTGGTTTATGCTTGACGCGTCCGAGGTCCGCGCGGCGAAATTGCGTCATTTTAACAACCACGCCCCTCCACCTTGCCTCCGCACGGCCCAAAATTTCTGCACCGCGCACCTAGGAAATTACCACGCGGACGGTCGGACGCGGAAAAACATGGCGGACTGGCGAGAACTAGTATGGCAGAGGTTCGTAAATACAGACATTTGTATGATTCAGCTCTCAGAGATCGTCATGATCAACATGTTGTTAATAATTCTTGGAGAGAAATAGCTCGCACTGTCGGAAAAGACGAGGACGCTGTTAAAAAATGCTGGAATGCCATGTTGTAAACAGTAATTTTTACTTCTACTATGGTGTAGTGTTGGATGCATGCAGTAGAGCTCCATGCTGCCCAGTTCAGTTTGGGAGAATATTGGCTCACCACAGAGACAAGCTGCATGAACCATAAATGCTGCCAGTTGTGACACGCGTTCCATCCGCGAGCCGCATCACCAAGCGGAAAGTAAATGCGTCAAGCATAAACCAAGCTTTAGGTGGGTTTATTCTTGTCAGATGAAATATAGAATATTTTGAAAAATTGCATTGTTGCAAAATTACTGCAAATTCAAACAATATTTCAGTAGGTATTTATTTCCAATATCACAGAAAAGCAAGAAAGTAAAGAAATAAGTAAAATAAACAATATATACAGAAAGTGGCATATTTTAGTTACTGTTCTGGAATAAACTGTGTTTGTCACAGTCCGTCTTTTTCTTTACTTTATTTACAAGAGTTCGGGATCATTAAAGTGTGCCTTCTTGGTTTGATCATTGCAAACCTGTCTATGACTCTGTTATGGTCTGTAGAATGCACAGCATCCCTCTCAATGGCCATCACTGCCAGGCTATTTAGCCTATTCTGACCTATGGTCAGTCTTAGCCATGTGTGTAGGCAACGCAGAGCACTGAAAGACCTTTCACAGCTGCATCTGCTCACAGGAATGGTTAATGCCACTTGAAACACTGCTCTGAGGCTTGGAAACATGGTAGGGTTAAGAAGAAGAAACAGACTTGCCACATCTGAAATGGTGCCTCCCCCCCCCCCCCCCCCCCCCCCCATCAGGAAGTGTTTTGCAGCTACAATCTCTTCTTTTCTGAGTGAGATCTTGTAGTGATTGGCAATTAGTTCTAATGATTGTCCAGACATGAAGTCCTCTGCTGCTGGATGACAAGCTTGTATGCCTTTCATCAGATCAGTGCCAACACCACTAAATCTTCTCTCCAGCTTAGCATTCTATCAGTGCATGGGTAGAATATGTGGTGTCTCAGGTCATCCCCAGAGCTTGCTTGAGATCTTGCGCCTGTGGTAGGCTCCACCACATAGTCATCTAAACGCCTTTGCTTTCTTTTTCAAGAGACATCTTGTGAATTGTTGGCCTCAAAAATATATCTGGCCTGTTTGTCTAACTGATCTGCAGTTTCATCAGTCCGCATTGATTTGAGAGTTTCAAGGACAGCGTCTTTGTACATGGTAGCCTGGACTAGGTCTATGTCCTGCTTCTGCAGGTACTTGCGGGGCCCCTTTGTAGTGGACAACAGACTCTTAAACATCACCAGCATATAAACACTAGATAATCTGACAAGTTGTGAGTGTAATCAAATTGCAATGGGATAATTCATTTCTGCCAGGCACGTTAGCAGTACAGGGAAGTTAGCAATGACACAAGTTAGGTTGTAATTGGCATGCCCATCTAGTCTTATGGGCCATTCCCATCTGTACCGGATCGGCCCGGGCCGGGTAGCCCCAGTCGGCCCCAGCCTGGCCCGGTTGATTCCACACATCCTTGCCTTAAGCCCATGTGGGCTGATTCTACCCACCAATCAGAGGCCTGCACTAATGGAAGGTGTGAATTTGCTGTCAGCAGTGGGTGTGTTGGCCCTGGTCGGCCTGAAGCCCTGCTGAAGACCTGCTGTCCACTTTCACCTGCCTCATGCCTCTCACCTGCAGCCCTGGGTGTGTCGGCTGTGTGAGGCTGAGCCAGAAAGTTGTAGAGCTGGAGAAGAGGATCTCCACGCTCCACCAAATTCAGGACCATGAGCGCGACGTGGACACCATTTTCTCCCGGACCTTCGCCACCACTGATGGGGCTCAGCTGGCGGATGCCGTTTCATGCCAGCCCGGAGCAAATTCCATCTCCGGTTCTCCAAGCAGGCTCGGAGTGCCGGGGGCCTGCACAGCATTCGCGGCGGAGGAGGAGCGCTGGTTACAGCTGGGGGCAAAGCCGAAAGCCCCCCTCAGCTCCACTCCCTTGCTCCAGGGTGCATGGGTCAAGGTTGGGTCCGGTAAAGGTGGGGGTACGCGGGGCGGCGGCCGCCGATCTCCTCCACCTAGCCTGTCCTTGTCCAACCGTTTCGGCGCCTTGGAGTTGGATTTTCCTCCTCTGCCAGCCCCTGGCCGTGACTTCAAAGGACCCTCCCGGCCGCTGCGGGACCAGCTGAACGGCAGCGGCCATCCACGTCACACAACCCCCCAGACTGAAGCTGGGACCCACCACGGAGCGCTGACTTCTTATCGCTGCAGTCCTGGGGGAGCTCAGCCCATCACTCAGCAGGTCCCGGAAGGGTCCTCTGCCCAGCTTCAACCAACTACCACACCCACACTACCACCGCTACCACCACCACCACCAACCACTCTCATCGTTGGGGACTCCATCATCCGTAACGTCAGGATGAGAGGAGCCCTGACCTTCTGTTACCCTGGAGCTACAGTGTTGGACATTGCAGGACACATCCCAGACCTCATCCAGAAACACACAACAGTGAGTAGAATCATCATCCACGCCGGTACCAATGACATCCGTAAGCAGCAGTCAGAGCTCCTCAAGCGTGATTTTATTCACCTTTTTAATCTTTTAGGAACTATGCACCTGTCTGTTTTTATCTCTGGCCCCACTCCCACCATGGGCAGAGGAATCGGCCATTTTAGCAGACTTTTATCATTAAACACCTGGCTTTCCTCTGTCACCGTGATCCGTAATGTTGGTTTTATAGACAATTTTAACATTTTCTGGGGCAGGAGACACCTGTTTGGAGCGGATGGGCTTCACCTAAATAGACAGGGGACCCGTACTCTAACCATGAGCCTGGCTTGTCCACGACCCCCCCCTGTCTACTCCACTGGCCCCATCTGCTCCCACTTCCTGATGTGTAGCTGGTCCCTGCTCCTACCAACCCAGCCCTGATTTTAACAGTAAATCACATATCGGACTTGGACCTTGCCATACCTCATTCATACCTGTTATTATCAGCAGAGAGCGGACAAACAACCATAAACCAAACAAAAGCAACCCCAATAATCTAAAACAGTTACCAAAAGTCCAACCTTCAGTTAATACAGTCACTCCTTCACCTGTTACTATTAATATGGCTCTTTTAAATGTTCGCTCTCTGCTGAATAAAACGTTTTTAATAAATGACCTGATTTTAGATCGTAATCTGCACTGTCTGCTTTTAACAGAAACATGGCTGAGTTCAGATGCACCTGTTGTTCTCACAGAGGCCTCTCGGTCAGATTTTAATTTTAATTTTTCAACGAGGAGTAGCAAAAGGGGAGGCGGTACTGCTTTTATTAGTTCATCAATACTTTCTGCCAAACCAGTTTTATTTGATAATTTTACCACTTTTGAATATACAGCGGCAGTTTTTAGCTCTCCTCAGATTTTATGTGTCACAGTTTATCGGCCTCCTAAGCAGAGTGCCATTTTTATTCAAGAATTTTCAGAGTTTTTATCAATCCTTCACAACTGCTTTGAAAGGATCATTTTAGCCGGTGATTTTAATTTACATATAGATAATCCTTCTGATCCTTTTTCAAAGGAGTTTTTAAATATTCTGAGTTATATGGAT